CGACGAGCCCGCCCGCACTTACGCTCCGCCAGCGTCTCCACTTCAATACTAGGGCTGTAGTTCCCGTAGTCTGGCGAGGAAGATGTCCGGATTTGGAAAATATAGAGGGTGCCAGGCTTCAGGTTATTGACCGTCACGGCTGTTGATGTGGTTTTCACGGTTGAGTAACTTTGATCTCTCTGATCCTGTGAAATAATGAGATTCCCGAGATCGAGCAGGGCTGAGCTGCGCCAGGGAGCGGGCACGGCACAGCTCTAGCTTTGCCTCGCCTCCAGGCCCCATCAGGACAGTCTATCTAAACATAAAACCTTCAACAGAAAGAATACATTTACTAGATGTCTCATTAATAGAAATTACACGGAAAGGTCACATGAAATGGCAGACGGAGCCAGACGATGCGCTGCAGAGACGGGCAGAGGACGGGGCGGTGGGGAGCAGCGGTGCCACCCCACACGGCTCCTTCCCTCCCGCCTGCCCCGCGCTGGGGCTCGGCTCCGGCCCCTTCCCGCTCCCCGGCCACGGCCCCTCAGCCCTGGAGCAGACACGTGTGCTAGCACAGGCCGAGGCACCAGTCCTGGTCCCCGGGATTTTATTCCCTTGCCCAGCGACCTACAGACCCCTCTGCTTCGAGCGAGGGGGGGCGCGAGGGGCAGCCCCGCTCCCGCAGCCGGCGAAGGCAGCCTGGGCTCCGGGGGCGACTCGCGAGGCTTTTACGTGCCAGAGCAGCAGATCCCTGTGTCTCTGCCTCCTGCGGCTGCAAAGCAAAACAAGCCCCAGCCCTCCCGCGAGTCCTGCGGAACCTCCCGCGCTACCGCCCAGCCGCGTCGGGCACTTCTGAACAAACTCCTCGAGGAGAAGGTGAGGCCGGCGCTGCTGCGGTCCTGGACTGGGCTTCTCTGAAGCCACTTTCTGCCGGCAGCGGGGCCAGGCCACGTCCCACGGCCTCAGTCCCGGCAGCAGCCACGCACGGCGCCGCTCCCGGGCCAGGGCCAGCGCCGCCAAATCCGTTTTCCATTTGATACGCTTCTCCCCTGGAATCTCCACAGCTAAAGCGTGGCTTTAAAAGCAAAGATTAGGAACGAAGTTGATTTTCATGTCAGCATCAAGAGCCCCATTTCAGGGAATAATTGCTAAACCATCATTTGAATTCTCTACCCAAGCAGGACGTTTCCTCATTTCACATGCCCCGAGTATCTTGTTTCTGCAGCCCATTTGCACAGGAATTACCGTCTCGGGCTTCAACGTTCGCCCTCACCCACAGATTCCTCCTTTCAAATCTATCAGATGCTGAAAATCACATTAATATGAATCAGCTTCAAGGTAGCTTGTTTCTAAATACAGAACGCCAACATGTCACCTGCACAGTTTGCTTGACATGTCATCAGTTTCATAACAAGCCTGAGCACATGCAGATAAGGTAATTTGTGGAACTGTGTCATAAACTGCATTTATTTTGATTTAGAGCATTGTCCCTGCTCTCTGCCCACCAGTATTTCTTCTAAAATTCTCAACATACCACACCTGTCAAATAACAGCTATTTTTAAAATTAAGAGACTGTCACGAAAACGTTTGCCTGCATCCATCCCCTCGTGCGTGGGAGGCCACTCTCAGCTCAGAGTCACGGGTTCAGTGGCCCTCGGTCCTAAACCACCGAAGACCAGAAGGTCCAACCCTTTCCCAGGGAGCAGGGTAGGAATGCAGGTGTCACCTTGTCAAAGATTTAGAAACCCGCTATGGCTTAGCAGGCCCTGTCTAGCTGGCTAATGGCAAGCACCCAAATCTCAGGCTTCTAACGTCCTTGAAAAAAGCCATCCAATGCACTAAAAAAAAAAAAATAAATTAAAAATTAGCTTTACTCTTTCTCCCAGGGAGATGTCAACATTACGACTGGATGAAATCTTGCTGCACAGATGGGGAAAAAGAGCCACTAATTAACATAAACTCTACAAATAATCCAAATTTCCTGAAACTTGCATAAGCAGACGGCGTAACGCCACTGGAGAAGAAAAGCCCTTACTGGCCCCATCCGAAGCGCTCCTCTCGCTTCCCGTGCCAGAGAAATCTTCACAGCAGCACCAGCCGCAGACACGCGCCCTCGCCCTGTCCCACCGCCCAACGCCCGCGGACACCCGCACACCCCCCCGGAACACCCGCACACCCCCAGAACACCCGCACCCCCCCCGGAACACCCCAGCTCCTGAGGGAAGCACGTGGCAGCCGGCGGGGAAGGGCTGGGGCGCGAGGCCGAGCCAGGGCCGGTCCCCAGGACCCACCTTCTCGTAGTACTTGACCTCGTACTCGGTGCCGTTGGGGGGCGGGAAGCCCGGCTCCTGCCACGACAAGGAGATGCTCTTCTGCTCAACCTTATCCGTGCGGATGTCGGTGACGGGAGTCGGCGCTGAAAAGGCGAAGAGGAAAGCTGAGGGTGTCTGCGGTGTTGGCGGGGGCAGAGCACCCCTCCTGCCCCACCAGCGCCCAAACCCCTGCCCCGGGACACGGCCAGCGACGCTTCGGTTCTGAGCAGCCAAGAACCAGGAGATGGCAGTTACACGGGATTTTAACCCCACCCTCTCACTCAACGCGAGTCCCGTGTCAGTTGTGGTAACTTCATTTCTGCTCCTGCCCTGTGACGCCGCAGTAAAAGCTTCACTGCGCTGCTTCTGCAGACACCGGGTTCCCTCTCGCTGAACTAGGACTGAAATAGGGAAAACTCCAAGCTGGCGATCCCCCGAGGGTAGAAGGTGGTGGTAAAACACAACGGCTTTGTAATCTGGGGCAGGCGGTAACGCTCCACCTGAGAACACGCAAAAATTCCTAAAGGGACCCTCCAGCCACGTCGCTGCGGAGGGGACTGAGCGCCAGGTAACGTCCCGTGCTCCGAACCTGCTCCGAAGGATTTCTGGGAGATGCAAACCACAGTCTCGGAGCAGGAGGGCTCGTCGGACACACCAAAGCTTCACCTCCAGCCGCGCTGGCACAGGCTCTGCCC